TCCTTGTCTGCAGATGTAGAATGCAGAGAGTGTGAAGCTCTAAACTGGGCAGCATTTGACAATGATGGAATTAGCTGCCCTAGAGGAGGAATAGCTGAATCATTTACCCTGTAGAGAGTCTAACTTGCTGAAAAGGCCAGAATGGACAATGTTGTCAACCAAGACTTCTGAATGACTTGAGTGAGATATCAGCATCAGTAAAGCTGCAGGAGTATTTGCTTGTGATTAGATCTGCTGGAAAACTGGATCCTCAATCGGAGTGAGTGGTTGCTGGATCTTAATTTCAAGAGTCTTGGCTATGCAGAGCATCTGATCAAAAAACGCCTTGATATCATTAGTTGGGGAGAAAGGGTCCATGGCACCCAACTCAATGAGGAGAGACTTTCTAGTCAGCATGACCACAGAATCAGAATCCTATCCAGACCCATGGTACAACGATGGAAGGTCTGGCTAGCAATGACAACAGTGGAGGTAGAACGAGTGGATTTTTCCTTTGTGCTGAATGTAGTATCCTGGGCTTGAGTTGGCCAAGACATCACCTGGTCTTGAGACACAGTATTTTTAGAAGGACTTCGGTCAACACATGCTTGAACTTGCTGAATGGAGGCCAGGACAGCAAAGTGTGTGTAGTCTGGATGGTGCCTCTTGCGTCTCGAGGACCGTGACAAAGAAGCCTCATTCCTACAGTGGCAAGTACTAACACCCAGAACAACTATTGCTGATGGAAGAGCTGACCTCAGAACAGCAGGATTCCAAAGAAGGGGATCAATATCTACAATAGCTATGGTATTGTTGGCTATGAACAGTCTATGGATGGGACCCATGGTGTTGTCTACTTCAATAATACTGATAGGAAGATACCAAACAAAATAAGAGCATGGCCTGCAATGGTATCAACATCAGTGTTGCTATAAAGATGGAACTGCCAGAAGAGGTTTCTCTCAAATCAAAACACAAGCTGGAGAAGGAGAAACTGTAACTTTTGGTGGGAGCCTCTTATACAGGGCTGGCAGAGGTGGGCATGGCTACTGCCAAATCCCTTCAGAATGCTTTAGAACACTCCAGAAGAGGTACTGCGCAAGCGTAGGATAACCCATTTGTGAGAGTTACAGAGACCATGAAAAAGAATGATGATCATTTGGCCATATCCTGATATAACTCATTAGAAAAGAGAATAATGCTCAATAAAGTGGAGTTAGCAGAAAAAGAGGAAGACTCAAAGAAAGCACAGCCCTGAGCTTGCAAGACTGTTAATAATATGGTGTCTTGGAGGTTTCTCATTCACTCTAAGTTGAAGCAGACTTGACAGCAATTAACAATAAGACATATTCTGTGATTAATTTAACTGAATTTAGCTTGCAGTTTTCAACACCAGCAGAATTGTTAGATCCCACATTTTATTCTCTAAGTGCAACTATACTATCAGGACTGTAATCTGGCATGACTGCAGCCCACAATGCACAGATTTAATTAAAGGAATAAAGAGAAAAAGACATGGAACAATGCTCATGTTTCCCCAGTCTCCTTCTGTCACCCATTCAGTATATCAGAGGGAAGTCTCTGACTGTTACTTACCTCATCATAAAGCTGCAGTTTTATATCACAAGGGGAGAAACGGTAAAGCACAACGCCACTGATGCTACTGATTGGTTCACTCTTCTTCAGATGGAAGCTATTCTTGGGCTTAGCACCACTGTCTGAACCAGGGGAGGGTGGGACTTTTTGCCACTGGTGATCTTCTTCCACCAAGAAAATGTTACTATGAGTGCTCAGCAAGGTCACAGGAAAGGCAGAAGCCCCTAGGAAGGATCGTTGTACAGATTGCTTATGAAACAATACAACAGCAAGCACATACTTCTCTTATTGTGGCTGGAAAAACAACAACAACTCCAAGAACTTTCCATACCTTGGATTAGATATGCCAATAGGTAGAAGAAGGGTCTGGCTGAGCCACCTGCAGCTTCTTTTGCTAGGTCCTTATCAATCAGTGGCCTATGAGATGGGCATAAATGGCTGGAATGAGACTGACAGTATACTGACTTTCAGTTCAGTGAATACTATCATGGCATCCTGAACACATCCATTCAGGACTGATTTCAAAGGCTAAGCATTTTCAAACTTGGTTAAGAAATGGATGGGCATTTCCAGGTAGGTAGGGCTAGGAAAGAATTCTGTAGGTCACCCTGGAGAGTTGCTGGAACTCAAGGGTACAGGAATAGAGGAATCATGAGTGCTCTGATTCAGTATAAGTCAGCTTCCAATGTCTAAAGGCACCATCTTCTACTCTGCCAATCCACCTCTCCTGCAAAGTTTGAATTTCTCATTGCATCTCCTAAATATTGTGCTAGCATCAACTGTAGGGCGAAACTTTATATTGTACAAATGCAACAAGCCTCTTACCATAATGAATGCTGGAGGTTCATTTCCAAAACAGTAACATCTAGGATGTTTTTTCTGCTTTTGGTTGGCAACTCCTGTATGAGATCTGGATAGGACATTTAGAAAAAATATGTTTTCCAAGACTAAAGTTTCAATCAGGAAGGGGCTACTACTGCAACAATGTTGAGTGCTGTCAATAAAGAAGTCTTCCTTCATAAGGATCTTAAGAAAAGCCATAGCTCACAGCACACAAGGAGCAGAGCAGCCAAGATGAAGGAAGAATTAAAAGCCACTAAACTAGAACGAAACAGGAGGAATCACACAGGACAAAGGAGATGTCACACTACTTTAGCTTTGGATCAAACTCAGCACAGCTGTACCAACTGCCAGCACTTGGCTGGCTGGCTCTGTATCTCAAGCCACTTTTAATCTGACAAGTTTTCTTTTCTGTGACAGAAAACCAGATCATCAGTCACCCTCCAGAGTTTTTGATATGTGAGTACTCCATCTCAAAGTAAAGGATGATTGTGCATGCATAGACGTAGCCCAGTACCCCCTCTTACGTGTCAGGCACTGGAGGAATCGCCGACAGCGGCTCTGGTTGCGAAGCAGCAGGGTATAGGAGGCAGAAGGATTCACAAATTCCATATGCAAGCTCTGGTGGCACAGTCCTACCTCCAGGCAAAAAAGGTCAGATAGGCAGTGACAGTCACCCTTCTTCAACCACTCTGACGGCTGTCCCCTAGCACAGATAAAACATTATAAGCCTCCACATATAAAGATGGGGAGCCCACACTACCCAGAATGATAAGAAAAGAGATCAAGAATGCAGGGTGATTCATCTGCTAGGGAGTAGCACTGAGGATAAGAGTGTAGTTGGTGAGGAGCAGAATGCCTGTTCCAATAAGAACCTGCCCTTTCAAAACGCTCTAGCTAGCTCTTCATCATATAAGGCAGGGGTGGGAAAGTGTGGCCTGTAGGTTGTATGTAGGCCTTGAAGCCTTTTTTTGTGGGCCTCTGGACACTCTACCCTACTCAAAACATTTTTTTAATTTTTTTAAAATGTTTGAAGAAAAATGCATGGGAGGTGGGGTGGGGTAGGAGACAATTTTGCCACACACACACACACACACACACAGCATCCATTTTGGGCTAAGAAGAAGTTTTTTTCCTCACATAAAGTTGAGTGCAAATTGACCTCTGCCCAAGAGCACAGGGTGCACAATGGTGGATGGTGGAAATAACCTGTGTCCAATTTGGAATAGCACTATGGGCATATCTAATTATTTTAATCACTCTCCTAGATATTAATATATCTAAGGCATGTTATGACAGAAAACTGAGCAGAAATTAGAACTGCCCCAAAATAGCATGTCTTACCTTATCTCCCCTTTAACCTCCAACACATGAAGTCGGACATCTGAACCCACCATGAGTGCCTGGAACTCCCCTGGCCGGCCACTTTTCACTACAGCCACCTAGAAAGAGCATGGAAGAAGATGGCCTCTTCTCTGAGGGACATGGTGCTTCAAAAAAAAAAAAACAAAAACAAAAAACAAACAAACAAACAAAAAAAAACCACAACCCACTGCTATTCAAGTCACCATGACACAACAAAGCCAGATCTGACAGAGTATAAAGCACTGAACTCATTGTTATTTACTTCCCATACCTTGAGAAAGCATTTGAATTCTTCAGCCTTGTCAAAAACCTCCATATCCAAATAAAGCTTCAGACGATGGTCCACAGAGAAGAAGTCCCGCATGCTTAACAGACTGTTGGTTGCTGGGGGGGACGCAACAGAGTTAGTGGGGTTAGGTAGTCAACATCATCATTTGAACTTTCATCTGAGAAAGCACACCTGTCAACCTAACACAACTGATTTTGCTGCAATTACATTATACATTCATCATGAGCAAAGTTTAGAATACAGTCAGCTCTTGTATCCATGGATTTTTTTATCCACAGTTTTAAGCATCCACAGCTTGCAAATATTTTTAAAATATATAAATGCCATAAAGCAACTCTTGATTTTGCCATTTTATATGTGGGACACCATTATACTATGCCATTGTATTGAATGGGACCTGCGCATCCAGATTTTGTTATCCACGGGGGTTCCTGGAACCAAACCCCAGCAAATACCAAGGGCCCACTGTATTTCTGAATACAGAACATGAGCTCCATTCCCCAAATCATGTGGGATCCATTCAGCTACAGCTGACACAAAGTTTTTTGAAGGCAAAACTTCCTTTTCTGGAGTGTGCGTACTGGTTGACTCTGCCCAAGTCAAACAGACCACCAGAAATATCTGGAGCAACTGATTTACATTTAGAAGTCTGCTAAGGGATTACACACAGACCACCACACATCTCCCCTCCTATATTATGTAACTATGTCATGAACCATCTCAGGGTGAGGTCCTTGCTCTCCTACATACTGAGCACCCAGGAATGTCTTGCATGTGTGTTTGTGCCTCCATGTCATTCCTGATTTATGGCAACCCTAAGGCAAACCTATCATGGGGTTTTCTTGGCAAGATTTGCTCAGAGATGATTTGCTATTAGCTTCTCCTTAGAGTGGGAGCATGTGACTTGCCCAAGATCACCCAGTGGGTTTCATGGCAGAGAGAGGAATCAAACCCTGATCTCCAAAGTCTTAGTCCAACATTCAAACCAATATACCACACTGGCTCTCAGGAACATCTTAGGTACATCAATATTATTTTTTCTTAATTCAAGAGGGCAACATTGCTATATTAACTGCAGAAAGAATTGTCACATTTAACTAATCCTTTTTTAGTTCCCGCTTAAACTCTTCTCTGTTTAACACTGTAAAACACTCTTTTGTCTCTGACTTGTCACAATTCCCTCCACCTTTGTTTCTCCATATTACAAGCCTCCCTACGTAGCTAGCTCCCTCTGCTTTTCCTTCCTGCTTCACAGAACTCTTGCATCACAATACTCTCTTGCTTCCTTCAGTTTCTATGAGCTATGACCCAACCACCACAATGAAATAAGAAATACAGAAGGCATTCTCTCCCACCGGTTTACACACTAGGGGCCTTTCCACATGAGGCAGAAAACCAGCTATGTAGCTGAACAAATTCTGGCTCATTAATGGACTTAACACTGCTCATGGTATTCTCCTATTTGTATCTTCAACACCCCCCTCACTTACACCATTCCCTTCCCCACTTGCACTTATGCATTGTTTACATATCCAGACATAGTAAGCGTGGCAATTGGTCCTTAGAGTAGATCAAGGTAGGCAGTGCAACATGGCTCCATGGTTCCAGCTGGCTAGAAAACCTGGAACCAGTTCCACCCCCATCTGTAATTGCTGTGCAGGGCCCCAAAGTACTCTCTACAGAGATGAAAATAAGCCGTGAACAGTAGATAATCTGGAATTCCCTCAAGAATCCACAGACCACCTGTTATACAGGCTGGAGTTTAACCAGTCTTTTGGTTGCTGTCACCTCCTTTCAGCACCACTAATGCATGTGCAGCTGCCATTAAAATTTCAGCAATGATTTGCACATCATTCAGCAAGACCTTTGGCTGCATTCAAAGTGGCAATTGAGAATAATTAAAAGGCACTTTAAAATGCTAACTGTACAACACCTCTAACAATCAGCAGATGGAGCTCTTGCCTTACTCCTGCTGCAACATATTCCTTCATTTACAGCATAGGTAGACCATCTGTTTGATGTGCTCTATAGTTTTAAAAAATCTAGTTCTGGAGGCTTATATCATTCCACCATTGCAATATAGTGTCCCTTTTATCTACTCACGGGGGCTCAGGTTCCAGTGCTCCTCATGCTCTGAGCTCAGAGAGAGCTGGGAAGGGGTGGGTCCACGAGATATACTATAATGATAACTCCCCATCAGGCTCCCTCCATTGGTGTCTGTGTGGCTGAAGGAAGAATATCGGCTCTTGGAGTTCAAATCCCTTTTGCTCGCATCAGGCCCTTCAGAGCTACGGGAACTGGAATGCACATTGCTGCTATAGTCACCACTCAGCTCTTGAATCTGGGTACTGGAGCTGGTTCCAGTTTCCGAGTTATTATCTTCACCAATATAGAACTTTCCTGACTGTGCCTTCTGCTGGCTTTCACCAAGGCCATCCTGAGGAAGCAACAGTGTGCTGGGATGTTTGTCACAAGGTAAGATGACCACGTGGTCACTAGAGCAGCTGGGGCAGATGATGGGCTCACTGGAAGCAACATCAGCATCTGAAGAAGAGAAGATAGCAAACCTACATCTGGGTGCCACTGTCCTTGAACCAAGGAAGTCAAGCACCAATCAGGACCCAAGGTCTAAAGCAGTCTCAAGGCTCATGTGTCATCCCATCCTGCATTTTCCCTAGGGTTTCCACACCCATCTTTTGATCCTCTGGTCTCAAGCACTTTTGCCAATAGTTGACTAATTATGCCAGAAAGTGTGTTATAAATTTTTCACATTCACTTTTTGACAATTATTCAGAAGAAACACAGAGAGTTTATTTCAGTGATAAATCAGCAGTGGATAATTGTTTTCCTCTCCTAAAACAAATCTACTCAGAGCCCAAGCAATGACTCATCAAGAATCCAACATTCCATTGCACAAAAAGTGAAAAATGACTAACCTATTTCCAACATTATACAGAAACATAAAACTGATTCTGTTTAAGATTCTAGAACACCTAACACAGGATACAGATATGACTAAAGACTAATCTACTCAACTAAACATTCTGAGTCTACATATTCCTTGAACATTGAGAATATTCTTTGACAACCAAATCCAGGAATCCAACCTAATAATCCAGTTCAGATATCTATTATTCAGAGACAACAAAATAGTCTAAAGCTGAATCATTTTACACCCTTAGTACTGCCTTCTAGCTCTGTACAGTGACTTAGGACTTTTATCACACCAGCCTGCTGTCCTGCCACAACTGTGCTAATTTAAAAGCAGTTTGCCATCATTTCTTATCACACTCCCCCTCCTCCAACAGTGCTTTGGCAATCTATGGTTGGGTGATCTGTTTTCTGCATTGCCAAATGCCAGCATCCAAAAGGTGCACACAGCAGCCAGCTTGAAAAAGGTGTAGGCAGCTGCAAGTACTGCTCCACTCCTCTCCCAAAGTGTGGGGGTGCACATTCACACAAGCAGCTCCACGCTTTGGGAGGAAGGAAAGGGACAATCTATCCCAACTGCCTCCCGAAACCAGCTGCTTTGTGAATGTGTACACAGCAGCCACCTCCAGGGGGTAACAGCCATGATCACTGTGAGGGGGCAGGGGGTGAGGAGCAGAATCATGCTCACTTACACCACATAACTGCCTGAGATGCAGAACTACAGCAGAAGGAACCTATCACACAGAGGCAGTAATGGGACAGTAGTGAGACTGAAAGCTTACTGATGGGTTTTGCCCGTCAATGAAAAGGTGCACTGTAGTAACAAGGCAGCAGCAGGGTGGATACAATATTGTGTGCTAAGTATTGGCCAAGACACTTTTATCCAGTTAATATTCTGCTTTTTTAGTCAGTGTGATAAAATCCTTAAAAATCCAATGATTGTGACTCTTATTTTACTGTTAGGATAGGAGAAGTGAAGGAGGAGAGATTACTTCTCTTAAACTAGAAAATAAGCTGTGGTGGGAGAAGCATTCTTTAAACCAAAACCCCACTAAAGAATAACATAAGCCACCCCTCTTGCCATGACTTCAGCAGCCTACAGCTAGACCTTTCAGTCAAATGCAAGATTTTTAGCTAGTACTTCATACCTTGCTCAGAGAAAATGGTAGTTTCTTCAGTGGGGCCTGGACCCTGCCCCTCAAGCAGCAGGCATCCTGGAAATTCCTGCTTGCATTTCAGACACTGGAGCTTTGGGCCTCCCTTCTCCTGACTTCTGTTGTTCTGGTTTTTCTCCAGGATAGGCATCAACACTCTGAGTAATTCCTGAAAGGAGTAGCAGGACAGGGACAGAATGGCAACAGCAAAGGCCTCCATTATTCTGCATACCTTGCATCATCATGTAAGAGTAAATATCACAAATAGCCCTACCTGTCATGGAACACAAGAAGACAAAGAAGCAAGAAGCTGCCCTTCTTTCACAGCTGATAAGCAGCAAAACCAGAACAGGCAAAGAGAATTACTTCTTCAGTCAAGGCATAATTTCTGGAATCTGCTGCCTCAAAATTGTGATGACCAACTTTAGCTCAGAAAGGAATAAGAAAAATCAGCAGAAGACTCGTAACAGTTGCTACCAGTCATAATAGCTACATGGAGCCTCCAGGTTCAGAGGCATCATGCCCCTGAATGACAGTAGATGGGGAGAAACAGTAGGAAGGATTCTTGCCCTGCTTGTGGGTTTTCAAGCCATCTGGTTGGCTACTATGAGAATCATGAAAGAGGGCTATGGTGGATGACTTCACTAATCCAGCAGTGGCACTCTTAAGACACCAGAGATCCAGCCATCCTCATTTTAGGAACAAAAACAATGAGGCATTCTCTCCCTTCTCTATAAGCTTGAGTAACTAAGGTTCTTGCTACACCATAAAACCACCTTGGTTATTCCTCTGTTTCATTCAGTAAGATTATTGAGACTGAATCCAGATAAAACAGAGGTACTCACAGTAGTGGCCCCAAAACCAGGCACTGGGATACAACCTCCAGTCCTGGACGGGGTCACACTCTCTGTGAAGGACTGTGTTCGCAGTCTGGGGGTGTTCTTGGATCTGTCACTCCAGATGACTAATCAGATAAATGCGACGGTGAGGAGCGCCTGCTATCAGCTTTGGCTGATATGCCAGCTGTACCCTTTCCTGGAAATAAGGGATCTCGAAACTGTGGTACATGTGCTGGTAATCTCCCACCTTGACTTCTGTAATTGGCTCTACATGGGGCTACTCTCATGCTTGGTCTGGAAAGTGCAGTTAGTTCAGAATATGGCAGCCAGATTGGTCTCGGATACATCAAGGAGAAACCATATTACACCTGTATTAAAGTCCCTCCACTGGCTGCCTATTAGTTTCCAGGCCCAGTATAAGGTGTTGGTTATTACCTTTAAAGCCCTGCGTGGCTTGGGTCCAACCTATCTCCGGGACCACCTCCTCCCATACAATCCACCCCGCACACTCCGATCCTCTGGGAGGAATTTGCTGCAGCTGATAAAAACTAGGC